AAATGTCCAGCAATCCTCTCCTACAATTCCACAAAACGCCTGCATCTAGAGCACACTCTGGTTCCACATCACCTCCTGGACCCCACCTAGCTTCTCATACACACTGCATATTACAGAACAGCCTCAATGTCTAAGGCAGCGTGGCTCATCTTCCACGACCTTGCAGTGCTGCTTCTGACATAGACTCTTTTAGGCCCAGTGAAAAGATCACTTCCTTGACGTTGTCTCTCCTGATCCCAGTGGAAGGTTCCATCTTTCTGCCCTGATAGAAGGCCTGGCTTATACTAGTGCCCGAAGTCTTTCCTTAAAACCCAGAAATACAGCCCAGAAGGAAGCAGCACAGTTGCAACTGAAGCATGGGCGCCTTAGACAACAGAACATTCTGTAGCAGTACACTGGGGTAACTAGTACACATCCTCCTGCAGAGGACCCAGGCTCAGTTTCCAGCACCCACACGGTGACTAACAATCACCCATAACTCCAGTTTCAGGGATCTAATACCCTCTCTGGGCACTGCACACATATGGTGCAGTTACATATAATATATGCTGGCAAAACACTCACAGAGATAAAAAAAAATTTTTTTAATATTTTATTTTTATTTTATGAGAGTATTGCCTGCATGTATATGAGTGCACCCATGTCATGCAATGCCACGGAGGTCAGAGGAGGGCTTCAGATTCCCCTGGAACTGAGTTAAGGATGGTTCGTAGCTGCCATGTAGGTGCTGGGACTCGAACCCGGGTCCTATGGAAGAGGAGTCAGTGCTCTCAACCAATAAGCGATCTCTCCAGCCCGATAAAATTTTAAAACACAGGGCTTATACTGAGTTCAATATTGTATAACTGTATAAACTCAACTGTGAACCTAGTAACTTGCACCCACTTGTGAAAGAGATGTACGCTTGCTCTGGAGTGCGTTACTGAATATGTTAAAGCTGTAGTGAAATCCTTCTTCTAGTTATTAAAAATTTGTAGTTATTAAATATGTAGTTACTAAAATATGTAGTTATTAAAAATTTAAAAAATAATGATTAAAAACATAATTCTTCAAAGCATAAAAATTTGCTCCTTAATAATTAGTAGATGTGAAAAATATTACCACTGAAATCTACCAGATGACTTTATATCTGTTCTCAGATGCCAAGGAGCTCAGAAAGTGACTAGTAATTGTGACTAGTAATAATCAGATATATAGAGATTAGAAACACATGTGCAA